TCTACATACTCCCACTTATGACATAAACTGAGGTGGCAGATGCCCATTTGAACCTTCCTGTCAAGCAGCAGGATACAATTATAACAAGAATATCATTACAGGGAACCCCAGCTAAAACAATGAACATTGTTTCCACACTCCAGATTTCCATTCAGACAAGAAGAGGTGGGAATGGAAACCACTCTTGGAAGCATCCTCTCACAGCCTGGGTTATAGATGATGGAAACAGCTTCTCTGTTTAATTCCCTCATTAACTGAGAGCTTGGGCAGGTTCACACATTCATCCTCAACGCCATAAGTCATAAAGAGAGCCAAAATAAATGCACAGTCTATATTTAAGGGCCCTCGTGATCAAGGTAACATAATTAGGGGGCAACACACCTTAAATACCATCATAATTTCTAGAGCGACCCAACGGTGTCTACACTTAGCCAGTTTGAGCTTGAGCAGGTTTAAGGAACTGAACATTCTGTCATGATCCTGATATGTTAGTTTACATCTCTTTCCTCTCTCATAATCCCAACCCTGTTATACACCTCCTCTAAGCAGATTCCCTTGTTTCCTCTCTCCTTGCTTTTAACACTATTCCACAGGGAGTAACTTCTAGGACTGAGGCTGTAACCCATGCTTGCTTCAAGCGTTGACCCCAAATGGCTCAATCCACCCACGCTTGGCTATCCTGCCACCAACCACCACCTGCCCCTACAGAACGACTGGGGGAAGGAAAAACCTCTCAATTCTCTCTGCTAAGAAATTTCACTCCACTATAATATCCACAAAGGAAAGAGTGGGGAGTCAAGACAATTCAATTAGCTTTGTCACCATGGACAAGGCACTTCTATCTCTTGGGCTTCAGTTTCCTCTGCTGTAGGATAAAACAGCTGGAATATATCAGAGTCTTTCAAGGGTGCTCCACGAGTCCTATAAGTGATTGCCAAAGAAAGGGTGACTGCGGCCCAAAGGCACTGGGTACACCTTGTTCTCCCTTTAATCAGAGCAACTCTGAGCTTTTATTTTATATCTAGGTTCTGTACTTTAATAAGACAAGGCTCCTCAGATTTAGAAACTTTGAAAATTGCCTAGCATGGCACTTGGCACAGAGTAGGCACTCAAATCATTTAATGAATGAATGAAAACCAAAGTGACTGGGGTATCTCTAAGATTCCTTCTGACTTTCCTTGGTTCCATGGCTGCTTAACATGAATTAGAGTCAAGTGGTACCTCTCTGCCTTTTTGTGAAAATACTGATACTTCTTCTGTTTGTTCCTTCATTTTGGGGAATGAAAGTATGCCCATGGCTGGTTTTAGGAAATAATTTCCTAGTCACTGGGTACAAGGATTCGAAATAGTTGAAAATTAGGAGAACATCTTAGGCAAGCAGGAAAAACAAGTAATATATGGTTTAAAGGGTATCTAAGTCTGTGTCTATGCAGTAGAAGAGTCCAAATGTAAGAAAAATGACAAGATGACATGCTAAAACAACATATTCCCTTCAAAGATAATTAAAACATAAATAAAAGGGCCAAAATATAGCCTATATCCCTTGAAAATTCTTCTGAACATCCTCACCACAAGCATCCCAATTTTGTAGGTAATGAATTAAAATATATTAGACTCACTCTGTGATTTTGGGGTCCAGGTTGCCAATCCATAACCGGTGCCCTTCCTGTAGGGAACCCTCTGAAAGGATGGATGCATTCTCCAGGGGAAGAGTTTTGGTTTCTGCTTCCATCAATCTCTACGAAATACTAAAGGAAATGTGAATATTCAGACAGGAAAGGAGCAACATGTTGTGAACATGAGACTTCAAATTCAATTCAACAAACATTTATTCAAGGAGGGCATGCCCTGGGCAGTCCTTCAAAGGCTTCAGTTATTCCACAAACAGGGCCCCAGCACCAGTTCCCTTGGGACAGCTCCTCCGGCAGCCAGAGAGCAAAAGCTTCCATTTAAGGTGAAAGGGGTGTGGTTCTGTGTGTAGAAACTAGTTTTTCTCTTCTGAAGCCAGAGGCTGACTGGGCAGGAGGCCAAAGTCTCTACTACTACATGATACTCCAGTTCAACAACCGTCACCCAAAATAAGCCTTGGAAACCACCAGAAAGTGAGTCTTAATGACACTTAAGGGTATGGGTGGGGAAGAACAATAGTAAGTAATCAATTAGCTATTATCATGTCTAATATTTTGGGAGACACTGGGAAGAAGAGACTAACTTGCTCTGTAGTTATTCCAGTTCCATTATTTACTAGTTCTGTAACGGTGGGCAAGTTACTTAACCACTCTGTGTCTCAGTTTCCTCATTTGTAAAATAGGGGTAATAAAGAGCTATGCAGATTCACTGAGTTAATACACCAAAAACATTAAGAACAATAAATGCATGGCACCTAAGAAGCATTCAATTAATTTTAGCTTAAACTATTACCGACTTAGTTCCTGAAACGTCTCATATCACAGCCACAAAAGGAGGATGAGGGTTACGATGGAGACAGTAATGTAAAGACCAAAAACCTTGCGGTCAGAAGGCCTGGTTTCAAATTTTGGCATTTCCATTGGAAGTCATTTCATTCTTAGCTTCAGTCTCCTCACCTCTACATAATAAACCTTGCCCTGCTTATAACTTAGAGTTGCTGAGAAGACCAAAAATGACACAACAGGTGTAAAATAAAGCTTTAATGTATGATGTGGTAGAGGAAGGAAAATAAAGGGGCTGGGAAGATGGCAGGCTGTGACAGACTTCATAACTCCCTGCTAGAGAAAACATGTCCTGTAAAACCAGAAGTGCCTCCGAGATCAGTGTTGCAGGAACTGCGTCTTAATAACAACAGCTGATATACTGAACACTGCCATTCCCTCTTATTCAACTCAGCACAGCTTATACGGGCTAGCACATAGCAGCCCCTCAGGTAATTGTTTGTTAAATGTGTTTATCTACCTCCACACATGAGGGTATTTTTCTTCCTCTCTCATTCACATGTTCAATCTGTTCCATAATGTGAGACAAGCAACTAATAACTGCTAAGCCCTGGACTATGTGCTGAAAATAGAGAGATGAACGAGCCATAGCTCTTGCTCCTACTTCCTGGGAGAAAGGTAAAACAGGCATAAGTAGAATCCCAGGTGTGGAAACTGGAGAGGCGAAATATTTTGTCCTTTCCTGTCCTTTCCTTCTACTTACAGATCATTCATTCAAAAAATTTTTATAGAGCCTCTATTTTCCAGGCAGTGTCTAGGTACTGGGGACAGAGCAGTGAACAAGCAAAGTCTCTGCCCTATGCATGCTTATATTTGGAAGAGGGGCAGGACAAGACAAAAGGAAAATAAATAATCAAGATGTAATTTGTGGTAAGTGCCGCAAACACAGTTAAGCAAGGGGATTTGACAAAGTCTAGGGATGGGCTACTTTAGAATTAGTGTAAAGGGAAGACCTATAGGAGATGACATTTGAGATGAGACTTGAATGATAAAACCTTCTGATACTAATACCAACAGGAAATAGTATCACACGAGGGAACCATTTTTAGTGGGAAGAGTGCAGGATATGGGGCCAAAAGAGAGGCACTCAAATCCTGGCTTTTGCACCCAGTTATTTTGTGACTTTAGAAAGTCATGATTGCCCCTTAAGTGTCCGCTCCTCAGAAAAGCTTTCCCTAATAGAGCAGGGCATCTTGTTAGTCTCTATGACAGCTACCTTTTTCTTTCCACATAATACCAGCTCAATGTATCACATACTCTTTTATCTTCTGTTTCCCTCACTAGAATGTAAGTCACTGGAGGACAGGGCCTTACCTATTTTGATGATTCTATTCCCGGCACTTAGTACACTGCCTAGCTGCTGGCTGGTACTCAGTATTTACTGAATGAATGAATGAAACAAGCCACTTCCCCACTCGGAGCCTCAGTTTCTTCCTCCTTCCTACAAAGGGCATAATTATCCCTATCTCAAGGGTTGTTATGATGCTTAAATATGACAATACACGTGACAGCTCGGCACAGCACTTTTTGAGGAACGGTAAAGTGTGGTAAGTGATCAAGATGCCATATGACAATCAAAATCCTTTGGGTTCGCAATGGCGACAACCTCTTACATTCACAGAATTCACAAAACGCTCCCGCCCACCCCCCACCCCCCCGCTGAGCTACAACGACCCTGGAAGCCACGAACAGTCATTTGGGGAAACTGAGGAGCAGAGAAGCAGGCACTTGTTCCTAAAAGCTAACGGTAACGGTGGGGTCAAGCCTGGAATCCGGGCTTCCCATCCCTGGCCGCGAATTCCCAGATGCGATGGGTCATTACTCGGATTGTTATTTCCGGGCCAGCAGCGGGACAATCCGGGGCGGGGCCTGAGAAGCCGTCTCTCTAGGGCAGCCTCCTCTGGGAGCCCCTCGCGGGGCCGGCGCTAAGATGCAGAGGCGCGTCGCGGCCGGACTCACCTCGTCACCTCGGCGTAGTCCCCTCGGCTCATGCCCCCAAAGCAAACCCCGACTCCACGGTCAGACAACCCTCTAGACGCGTCCACCTCAGCGCCGCCAGCTGCCAGGCCACCCGTGACGCACTACGCCTGCGCCGCCGCCCCGCCCCGTGACGTCACGACGCCCGCGCCGCCGCCGTCGCTGCGGTCGTGCGAGTCTTCCTAGTAGACTGGGCGCTAGCTGGTGAGTGGCCTCGGCACGGCCTCGAGGCGCGCGCGGGGCCCGGGTGCCAGAGATCTCTACTCAAGGACCTCTGGGGGACTGAACACCCGGACGCGTTCCATTGGAATCCGGCTTGACCTTTACGGCTGAGGGCGGGACCTGCTGATCTGAGCGAGTCTGGGGGCGGGGCTCATCTCATCAGCTAGGAACTTCCAGGGTGGGAGGCGGGGCTTACTAAATAGGGACAGCTACTTAGTAACTTGCCACCTGGCTGGAGCATTTAATTTTCATAACAATCTTTTGGGGGTAGGGTTTTTTTTTAATAGAATTAAGTCCAGACCCTTTATTTATTTATTTATTTTGGCCGCGTGGCATGTGGGATCTTAGTTCCCCAACCAAGTATCGAACCCACGCCCCTTACTCCCAGGGGAGTAGGTATTTTTAATCCCCCATGCTGGAGAAAGGGAAGCTCAGAGAAATAACTTCATCGGGTCACGTGGCTAGTGAGTGAGGGCGCCCAAATTCCAAAGCCTCAACTTTTAACCATTACTCTGTGCGGCCCAGTGGCAAAACAGTTGTCATTTGAATAGCACTTCTATATTTACAAAGTGCTTCTGCAGCTCTTATCTTATTCGATCGTCCTGATAACCCTGATAAATATTATTGTCATCTACAGATGAAATTGAGGCCCAGAGATTTTGACCTGTCGAAGGTCACATACCTAGGAAGTGCTGGAACCAGCACTCTTTCCCAGGTCTTCTCTAAGTTTGATGCCTTTTTCCTGTCACCCCACTCTCTCACATTCTCAGAATCTTGGAGAGCTTTATAGTTAGAAAGAATGAAAACCTAGTCTGACCCTTCGTTTTATAGTTGAGGAAAGAAGACCTAGGTAGAAGAAATGACTTGATACAAGTCTCAGGTCATCAGCAGAGCTTACACAAGTGCTTTTTGAATACAGGGTAGTTATGAATCTAAAAAGGATGGCTGGCAGGGAGTGATGAGACAGGAATATTGGAATCCAGCCCTCCTAGCTCTTAGGCAAAAGCTCTTTCTCCACGTGTTAAAGTGTCTCATCTTTCCTTTGCCTGTGTCAGGGACATGATCCTGCATAGAGTCAGATACTGTAAATGCCTTCACATGGCACTGAATTTAGAGAACATGCCCTATTATCTCTACGTGAAAAATCTGGCAAACCAAGAGATAATGGAAGCAGTGGGAAGTAGAGCCTAGGACCTACTGTCTGAGGCTTAGATTTCAGTTCTGGTGCCGGCATTGTGACCTTGAGGAAGGACTTAATCTTTATAGACTTTCGCTCATGGATTCTTCACATTTATTCAGTGTCTCCTATGTTCAGAACTGTGGTAGGGACTGGGGATGCAGCCGTGAACAAGACAACCATAGATTAGTCCTTGTACTGCTTATAGTCTTATGGAGGGAATTAGACAATAATCAAATAACTACACAAATATTAACTGGTATTGTTAAAGTAGGTACTATGAAAAAGTACAGGGTGCTATGAAAGTGGGCTATAGGACGTTTGACCTATTGGGCTAGAGGAGATAGCCAAGGAAGGCTTCCTCTGAGGAAGTGATGCTTAAGCTGAAATCTGAAAGAAAAGTGTGAGGTAGTTCATTAAAGAGGTGAGGGAAGATCATTACAAGTAGATTCAACAGTATTTTTGAAGACCCTGGAGCAGGAAGAATATTCAAGGAAATGAAAGATCAATTTGCTTATTTGTAAAATGTGGGTGATTATCACAACCCTGGTTACTGTGAGAACCAGGTAACACATGGAAGTATTTTATATACAACAAGGATCTGCGTGTGTGCACACCCACATTTATAAAAGTCTACATATCATAAGCTAATATACAGCTGGATTGGTAGGGGTTGCTGGGACAGTGGATAAACCAGGACTTTGTGTTCCTCATCTATTTCTTTACAAAATTAAAGTGCACCTTCTATGGAAAAACAGGAAAATTCAAGTTTGAGAACCTCGACTTTGGATAAAGAATATGTGCTTCAAGTAGTTTTAAAAAATGTTTCAACAGTTGGAAAAATAATGCCAGTAATTATACTGCCTTATGTACACAATCTAGGATAGTGTTTAAGAGCACAGACTCTGGAACAAAAGTGCCTGAAATAAAATCTTGGGCAAATTATTTATCTTGTGCCTCTGTTTCTTTATCCGTAAGATGAGTATAATAATAAGTACATATCTCCTAGGTTATCATGAAGCTCAAATGAGTTAATATATGCAATATATCATTTAGAATTGTTTCTGGCACATAGTTATAACTATATGATTATAAGCTATTGTTTCATTATTGTTATAATTACCTTTTTAAAGGCTCATTAATATCACCATGAGAAAGATGCAGTGGAAACTGTAGCTCAGAGAGGCTGATGATCTCCCTAAGGTCACACAGCTAGTAAATGGGCAAACTGAGATTCCAGTTCAAGACCGCATCCAAAGGTCAGATATTTCCTGCTGCATTTTTTTTTCTGAGTGTAGGTTCATTTTGTTGTATAATACTTGGGCTCCCATAATGGTTCCTTTCCTAGACCTTACTTCTCTGCTGAACTGAGTGTTAATATGCATGTTCTTAAGGTAAAGGGTCCAAGGGATTGCCTTTATTGACCTTCCACTTTGAAGTTTCCTGACTTCTGTGCAATTAAAATCTACGCCTTAAGCATTTCAGCAGTGTGGTTTATTTATAGAGTCGTCTTCCGGTTCACGTGTACTGGGTCTGCTTTTGGGTGAGTTTTCTGTCAAAGGTTGTTTATTTCTAACCCATTTTGATTTCCTGTTGCTTTGTGGATTGGTATTATGACCTGCAACAGGAACACCAGGAAACCTGTCTTAATGAAACAGCCAGATTGAGACCCTGTAGATTAAAAAAAACAACTATATTATACAGCCATATTTGGATATAAGTGTGGGTTAGGCATTAGCTGTATTAGGCAAAAACTTACATATAGAAACCTCACTTAGAGGCACATTTCTGTGAACAGTTTTGCTGCTCCAGGGCGGAACTATTAGCTCCATGCCCTTGGTCAGTGACAGTCTCTTTGAGCCTCAGCTTCTACGTCTATAAAAAGGAGATTATTATACTCTCTTTGTGGCATTTTTGAGAGGATTAAATGAATAATATGGGTAAAGCAGGAAGCCCAGGCCTGACCTCCATTAATAGTAGGTATTAATAATGTGAAAGGGGAAAAACTTTTTATTTTTTTATCTAGCTCTGTCTTTACTGACGTCCACACACTGTTCACTGACATCTAGCATCTCTTGCTATTAAAAATTCCATCGGGAGAAGTTATTTGCCTTTGTGCAACTCATTTGCTTTTCTTTAAAAAAATAGTGATAGTGATAGCCAGCTTTTATTAAACAGGTACTATATTCCCGGCATGCTACTAGGTTTTTAATATGTATTCACTATCTCATTTTACTTTAAGAACAGGATTATTTTTTTATTTTGCAAATGGAGAATGTGATGCCCAGTAAGTGGAATGAATTGCCCAAAGTTGAAATTTATATCTAGATGTGACTGACTCTAGGCTTCCTTGTACTTTAGTAATGACATGTATGATTTCTTTGTTGTGTCTGACCCTGGCATGGAAGTCTTTGAAAGGAAAGGTGACAGCTGTCAATAGGTACCCTTTTGGGAAACTCCTGTCTGCTAGAGACTGTGCCAAGTGTTTTACTTACATTAACCTATTTATTCTTCCCAAATCTAGGAAATAACTATAATTATCTCCATTTTACAGTTGAGGAAATCAAGGTGCGGAGAGGTTCAGGGGCATTTAGTCAGTGGTGGAGATGGGATTGGATTCCAAGTCTTATGGCTGCAAAACCCATGCTCTTATTCAGTCTGTTATACTGCATCAAAATTTTAGGATGAGAGTTTTAATTTTTTTAATGAGGTATGGGGCTGTTTTTCAAAGACGTTAGCTTCCAGGTATTTGCTGCTAATCGTGCTTAATTTTTAGCTGAGTAATAATAGCCAGATTCCTGGCAGAAGCTATTAATGCTACATTTGCCAGTAAGCTAGAGCTGTGTTCCATCCCAGAGGTAGCTGTAGGCTCTAGCATCTCTTCCACGGTCAAAGCCCTCAGAAGTATAATGTGTAACTTGTGTTAACACCAAGGAGGGTGGCATTTCCCAGAGCTTTAGTTCTATAACATGGAAGACCTCAAACCTCAGCCATGCTTCAGACTCACAGTAAAGTGCATTCTAATTGGTAATCGGTGCATAAGGAACCAAAGAAAATTTTAATTAAATGCTGTTGTGTGAATTTTCCAGTCATTTTATGCCTGTTGAAATGATTTTATTTAGTTTAAAGTCTTCTTCCAGTGCTCTGCCCTTCCTCTTTATAGTATAAGTTTATCAAGATTTTGTGCCTTTTCTCCTAAAAGGGTTTAATTACCATCATTAAGGATTTAGTCTGCTCTACATTTACTTAACTCTGTTCCCTGTGTGCTAAGGGGCATTTGCTGTAGTGGAAAGAGCATGGCGATTTGGAGTCCTACAGACTGTGAGCAAGTTACTTAAATCTCCATGAGCCTCAGTTTCTTCGTAGTATAAAATGGGGCTAATCATATTAAGTTGCACAGATGTTGGGAGGAGGATTAGAGATAACGTATTTAAGTTCCCTAGCACATACTCAAAACTGATTGACAGACTCTGCTGAGAGGATTTGCTTGCTAACTGGTACAGATTATTTTCTGAAGTTGTAATAGGGTCTGTTTTACTTTGATCTCCTTTTTGTCTTGTTCTTTTTAGTGGGTGTTCACAAGAATTGTCTTCAGTCATGGCCTTGGGTTTAAGGTGCTCCCGCTTGGTCCACCCTGCCTTTTGCAACTTCCTTGCAGCCTTGACCAGACCTGTTTCAGAAGTTACGCTGAAGACAGTGAGTGGAAGACAGAATGACCACGGGCAATACCTGGCCTATCCAGCTGTACCAATCCGTCATTTCGCTACCAAGAAAGCCAAAGGTAGAGGCATGACCTCCTCACCCCTGTCTTATATTTAGCCCTTGAATTATCATAGCTGGAAGGGATCTCAGAGATGTTCTGAATTTCTCCCCATGCCTCATGAGGAAACGGTATCTCAGGTGGTTCAGTTGATTAGCTTAAAAGGTCACAGTGACAGAGTTGGTATTAGAACCTGTTTTGTCATTGCCGTGCCGCCTCTTTTGTTATTATGGCTCAGAAAATGCCTAATTTCTTTTAGATTTAGAATTAGAGGTATAAGTGCCAAGCAAATCAGAATACTTGTGGCAGGGATCAACCTGCATTCTCCTTATAGGAAGATCTGCGTTGGAAATAATATTAAAAGCAGAAGGTTGTTGGGTGAGGAGATATTAGAGCCGTGGATTTAGATGGATGATCTTAATGGCTTGTGTCATCCAAGAATGAGACCTTGATACAACTCAGGTCTCAGCTTAAATGTCGCTTCCTCAGGGAAGCCTTCCCTGACCTCTTAGGCTGGGTCAGGTCCCTTGTTACATGCATTTGTGCACACTGTTACTTTACCTTTGATGTACTTAAGCACAGCACTCATTAATTAGTTAATTATTGTTTGTTATGTCTTCCATACTGGACCCTGTGAGGTCTATGTCTTTCTTGTTTAGCAACTAACAGGGCCTGACACATAGTATGTATCAAAAAATTTTGTTGAAGGAATGAATGAGTGACAGAAAATTGTCAAGCAGACCTGCTATTTGCAGTGGTGGGTCAGGGATTCCATTCCTAAGGATGGTGCTTGAAATACCCTACTGAATATTTTTCCCACTGCTTTTCTTTTATGGTTTCATGCAGACCTTTTCCTTTTCTGTTAATAGGAAAATTAACAAGTTGCCAAAAGAGCTTTAATGCATAGAAGCCTTATATTCAGTTAATAACTTTGATCTATAGGTTGCATTATATTTTTTTAAATTCACATACATTTAATAATTTAATTTGATCCTTATAATTATCCACTGAAGGAATTGTAATTATCCAGTGAAGAAATTCTTCTAATTACCTAGTGAAGCACAGATCTCACCATTTTGCAAATGAGGAAACTGAGGTCCATATGTAAGACATTTGCCCATGATCATATCGAGTTAGTGGCAGAACTGGAATCCAGGTCTCCTGATGTCCACAGCATTGCAGTATTCAAGTGCACTAGACGTTAGCTGCAGCGTGTAAGCAGCATCTTTTCATATTTCATTGGCTATTCAGTTTTTGTCTTCTTTGATTGCCTCCTAAAAAGTTGCTTGACTTTTTCCTTTAGATTTATTGGATTCTTTCTATATTAGGAATGCTAATCCTTTGTTGATTGTATATGTTGCAAGTATCTACTTTGCCTTTTTACTTTATGATGTCTTTCATTGAACATAAGTTTCAATGTAGTCATATTTTTCAGTTCTTTCTTTTATCATTTGTGCTTTTTCTGTCTTATTTAACAAACCCTCAGCTATCTGAAAATCATAAAGCTATTCTTCTGTATTTTCTTCTAAATCTTTTAAAGGTTTTTACTTTCCACATTTGGGTTTTTAATCCATATGGAATTTATTTCTGAATATGATGTGAGGTAGGGAATCTATTTTATTTCTTTTTGAAATGGATAATAAGTGTGTCAACCTCACTTACTGAGTAGCCCTTCTTTACTCCCAGATTTGTAATGCTTCCTCTGTCATATGTCAGGTTTCTTTGTAGGTATGATTTATATCTGAGTTCTTGATGTGTTGAACTACTCATCTCTCCCTGCACTAAATTCCTTAATGCCTGAATCACAAGTCTTGAATCTAGTGGTACAAATCTTTCCCCTCAGAACACGCTAGCTTTTTCTTTTTCTTCTTCTTGGCCTTTTGCTCTTCTCTATGAAACTTGTATTGTCAGGTTTTCTCCATAAAGATCTTGCACAGTTCTTTAATCAGGTTTATTTCTAGGCTATCATCATTTTTGTCACTTTTGTATATGATGTTTTTTAAAGTAAATTTTTGAGTGATGTACACAGAAAAGTGCATACATACATTGTAAGTGTATGGCTCAGTGAATTTTCACAAAGTGAACACAACCATGTAACCATCACCCAGGTTAAGATATAGAACGTCACTTGTACTCTGGAAGCTTCCCTCATGTCCTTTGAAGTTGTCACCCTTCAAAAGACAGGCCCCTCTCTTGACTTTACCACCACAGATTTATTTTGCCCTTTTTGAACTCAAGATGTATTCTTTCATGCCTGGCTTCCTTTGATAGCAATCTACATGTGAGATTTGTCCATGTTGTTGCCTGTAGTAGTTGTTGGTACATTTTTATTTCTTTATAGTACCCCAGTGAATGCGTATACCACGATTTATGTGTGTTTTCTATAGTTGATGGATATTTGAATTGCTTCCAGTTTTGAGCTAAAATAAATAGTGCTGCTAAGAACATGCATTTTGATGCCCATGTGTATGCCTTTCTGTTGGGTGTATACCAAGAGGAGGATTGCTGAGCCTTCGGTTATGCATATATTAAGTTTCAGTTCAGTTTCAGAACATACAATTCTCCAAAGTAGTCACGTCAGGTTACACTCCTTCCCAGAGTGTTTTAGCTTTCTATTTGCTAAGTACCCACTGTATGCTTGTGAACACTTGGTATGGTCAGCCTTTTTAGTTTTAGCCATTCTAATGGGTGTGCATTTATATCTCATTATGGTTTTAATTCATATTTCATTGATGAATAATGATGGTGAGCACCTTTTATTTGCTTATTGGTTATTTGGACATCCTCTTTCCAGTCTTTTGCCCATTTAAAAAAATTGACTCGTAAGAATTTTAATGTATTCTAAAGATAAGACTTCTGCATATATATATGTATTGCTGATAATAATTGCCTTTTCACAGTGTTTTTTTAATGAACAGAAGTTCTTAATTTTAATGTAGACCAATTTATCAATCTTTATCGAGTAGTGCTCTTTTTTTCCTTTTTAAGAAATTTTCCCCTACCTTAAGGTCATAAATATATTCTGTGTTATTTTATACAAGATTCATTGTTTTAAGTTTATATCTTTTTAAAAATTGTGTTTTCTATTTGGTTGCTGGTGAATAGGAATACTTTTTTTTTTTTCTTTTTTGGCCGCACCATGCAGCTTTCAGGGTCTCAGTTCCCTGGCCAGGGATTGAACCCAGGCCACGGCAGTGAAAGCCCAGAATCCTAACCACTAGGCCACCAGGGAACTCCCCGATTTTCTCTTTGTTCTTGAGTTAGTTTTAGTAAATTATATGTTTATAGGAAGTTCTTGGCATAAAGTTGTCCATAATAGTCTCTTAAGATTATTAAAATCTCTACTGTTTTGGTGACTGTGTCCCCTTTTTCTTTCTTAGTATTATTTATTTGTGTCTACTTCCCTTTTTAAAAATAATTAATTAATTTATTTATTTTTGGCTGACTTGCGTCTTCGTTGCTGCACACGGGCTTTCTCTAGTTGCATCAAGTGGGGGCTACTCTTCCTTGCGGTGCGCGGGCTTCTCATTGCTGTGGCTTCACTTGTTGCGGAGCATGAGCTCTAGGTGTGCGGGCTTCAGTAGTTGTGGCCCGTGGGCTCAGTAGTTGTGGCTTGCGGGCTCTAGAGCACAGGCTCAGTAGTTGTGGCGCATAGGCTTAGTTGCTCTGCAGCATGTGGGATCTTCCCAGACCAGGGATCGAACCCATGTCCCCTGCATTGGCAGGCAGATTCTTAACCACTGCGCCACCAGGGAAGTCCCTACTTCCCTTTTTTAATCAATTATTTTTGACAGAAGTTTGTCAATTTTACACACCTTTTTAGAAAAAGAGCTTTTAATTTTTTTGATCTCTCTTTTTTAAAACTTTATTGACTTCTGTTCTATATCGTTTACTTCCTCCCATGTTCTTGTTCTTTTTATATCCTTTGAGCTGGACAGTTAGTTCATTAATTTTCGACTTCTTTTCTTGTAAGCATTTAAGACTGTAAATTTATAAATACAACTTTAGGTACTTCCTACAAGTTTTTGTTATGTAGTATTTTTATTATTGTCATTTTAAATATTTTAAAATTCCACTGTGCATTTTTCTTCAGTCCATAAGTAGTTTTGAAGCTCAGAATTGTTATATCTTTCTGGTGAATTTTTTCTGTTTTTATGAAGTGCTCCTCATTGTTTCTAATAATGCATTTTGTTGTAAAATCAATTTTGTCTTAATATAACTACACCAGCCTTCTTTTGATTAATATTTGCTAGGGTTATAATTTTCTCATGCCCATACATTAAACTTTCTGTGAGCTTATATTTTTGTAAAATCTCTTGTATATATTATATACGACTAGATTAAAAAAAATCTTACTGAGAGTCTCTAACTTTTAACTGGTTCTTTGGTCTGGGTACTTGTATTTCTATTATTTTGTACTACCTCTTTATTGAGGTTTTCTTTGTTTCGTCTTTTCTCCTTTCTATTGAATTAATCAAGTTTCTTTATTCTTTTTTCATCTCTGCTGATTTGGAAGGTATACATTCTATTTCTTATTGTTTTGGTGGTTACTTTTAATTTCTTTTCTATGTTTTTATAAAAATAAAGCACCTAGGGCTTCCCTGGTGGCGCAGTGGTTGAGAGTCCGCCTGCCGATGCAGGGGACATGGGTTCGTGCCCCGGTCCGGGAAGATCCCACATGCCGTGGAGTGGCTGGGCCCGTGAGCCATGGCCGCTGAGCCTGCGCGTCCGGAGCCTGTGCTCCGCAACGGGAGAGGCCACAACAGTGAGAGGCCCGCGTACCGCAAAAAAATAAATAAATAAAAAATAAAGCACCTATGGAAAAGTGCAGCTATCATAAGAAAATAATAATAAGCTTGATAATTTTCACTTATATAATTTTTACTTATGTAATCAGCACCCAAACCAAAAACCAGAGCATTCCCAGCATGTCAAAAGTGCCCTTTTGCTCCCTTTTAGTAACTTACCACCTTCTACCCTTTGCAGGTAACTATTATTCTAACTACTAATGATATAGTTTTATCTGTTATACTGTTTAGTATATGTTATTGTACCTGGATTTTGCACTGTACAGTCTGGATTCTTGTGTCTAGCCACTTTGCTTAACATCATGTTTGTGAGATTCATTTAAATTCTTCTTTGTAGTTGTAGATCTTTTCTTCTTATGGTTGTATAGTATTTCATTCATAAAGAATATTTATCCATTCTAATATTGATGGGCATAACTTAAAATTTTTAACATGCATACTTGGTTTAACACTAAAGTTGAAGACATTATTTCCATTGTTTCTAGCTTCTGTTGTTGCTCTTGGAAATTATTTCTAGCTTCTATTGTCGCTATTATTCTAAATTTTGATCCTTTATGGATAATTTGTCTTTTCTCTGGCTGTTTTCACAATCTCTTTGTCCTTGGTTTTCTGCATTCACAAAATGTCTAGGTGTGAATTTACCTAGAATTTTATTATCCTGTTTGGAACTTGTGTTTCTAAATCTGAAGATTCACCTCTTTCATCAGTTCTGACAATTCTAAGCCATTAGCCCGTTAACTTAAGACCAGTGAGATTTCAAGCAAGATGGTGATACAAGCAAGTAAATGTTCAAAAAAAAAAATCACTCTGCTGCTAACTGGTTGGTTACTTTGGGCAAAACATTTAAATGGCTTGTGTCTCAAATTTCTCATCTGTAAAACGGGGACAATAATAATCTCTGTTCTTCCTAAGTCAGAGAGCTGCTTTGAATATCTAAAAGAAGAATGTACTTGAAATTGCATTGCAAATTGTAATATGGTATATAAATAGCTCAGGATCTAGCTCACTGTAGATGTTCAATAAAATTTGTTGTGAATGATCTCAATCAGTATTTGTTGAATTCTTAATAAATAAACTAGTGTAGGATAATATTATTTAAATATTTTTATTCTTTTTCTCCTTCCCACACCCTCCTTAAAGAAATGCAAGACTATTTGTGATACTCACGGGAGTGATCTATGTATGCATATACACATTATAGATGCATATGAAAAATCGCTATGATGGTTTAGATATAAATTAGAATTTTATTCAGTTCTCAGTATTGTTGCTTTCTAAAATATAAGCCATTGTCACTACTACCGGCGGTGTTTAATGTTGCTAAGCTACTGTTGTTTTTTTTGTCTGTACCAGCCATCAGATACTTTGCATATCCTTGTCTTAGGATTCATTTTTAAATGAATTAATATATTTTATGTATCTCCAATTACATTTTATGAAGACAATTTAATGGAAAGTTCATGGGTTTAAAATTAGGTACATCTGGGACCAAACCTTGTCTTTACTATTTCATGACCTTGTGACATTAGGCAAAGTCACTCTACCTTTCTCACCTTCTGTTTATTTTTCTGAAAAATAAGGAATTCATTCACTTATGGAGTGTCTGCCATGTGGATAGTGCTCTTTTAGGTATTTGAATTACTTAATTTGTGTCCTTGCAGCAACCTGGCAGTATAGATATTATTCCTGTTTCATAGGAAAGGAACCTGATATCAGAGAAGTAGAGTAACTTGCTCAAGGTCATAAAGGTCGTATGCATTATAGTGCATATTTTCACCTGGGTGTCTCATTATAAAACCTGTGCCTTCACTAATATCTGAGAAAGTGCTTTGTGTGATGCTGGGTCCCAGGTTGACAGTAAGTGTAGGCTCTTTTTTAGGGCCTACACTTAGTGACAATGTTCTGTAATTTTCTAGCACTTGGCTTTTTTCCCTGCACATAGTAGGTACTTCTTAACTCATTGTTTATTGTCTCTGTTTATGCTGCTGGTTTTTTTTATTCATTGAATGTTGACTTTCTAGCCAAAGGGAAAGGACAGTCCCAAACCAGAATGAATCTTAACACTGCCTTGGTTGAGGATATAATCAGCTTGGAAGAGGTGGATGAAGAAATGAAGTCGGTGATAGAAGCGCTCAAGGATAATTTCAATAAGACTGTCAATATAAGGACCTCACCAGGTTAGTGACTGAACCTGTGTTTTGGAGAGGGGCGTAGTGGCAAAAACATCGCTTTGGCAGAGCTGGGTTTTAGTCCTAGCTTTATCACTTCCTAATGGGTGACCATGGGCAGTTACTTCTCTGGTTTTCAGTTTCCTTGTCTAATTCCTACCTTCTAGCTTTGGGATGGGTAAATAAATGAGGTAACATGTGCAATCGTTCTAGCACAGTGCCCAGCACATGTTAACACTACATTTATCCATTTAGCAAATACTTGCCTGCTATGAACTAGGCATTGTGCTGGTATAAAGTGAACAAAATAGGTATGGTCTTTGCTCTCATGGAATAATACTCTCAAAAAATGGAAATTTTATTATTGTTGTACTCTCTACACTTGTAGGTATTTAGTTTCATAGTAACTGACATCTTTGGTCTGATTTTTCCAATTTGTTCTATTTGGCCGTTCTTATCGCTTACTGGGAACCAACTGGCTGCAGACCTGCCCACCTGAGGCATTTCTGTACCCCTGAGCTTGACCAGGAAGATTCCGTTTGGGTTAATAACTTCCTGAAAGTGGCTTTCCTAAGTGGGAAATGTCAGAACTGTCTAGGAGAACTGTTTGCAGATGTGATGGAAGAAGTGAGTTGTCAGCTAATGGTGCAGGCAGGCAGGAAAAATCCAATTGCTGTTAAATTGGCCTTTTGGAAATTGTCATCATCCTAGAGTCAAGCCCGGGACCCCCTCGGAAAGTATCTGTGGGAGCTTGCACTGCTCCCACTCACATCTTGCTTGGGGTAGTTCACAAGGAAACTAGAAAGTATTTCACGAACTTGTTCTTAAGAAAACCAAGTGAAAAGTATACGGCTTCATTTATAAACACCAGCAGAAACATACAGAGTTCAGAGACGAGATCCAGTGTGAAACCAGAAGACCATTCCGTCATTTGTCAGCCCTGAACTGGGGCATTTCTGCCTTTGCTGACAGTAGAGCGTGCCATTCAATCTCTCCCAACTGTTTATTTTAAACTTGCTTATTATTTTAGGTATGAAGCTGATAAAGTGCTTTGTCTCCCCTGTGCTTTCTGGCCTGTTAACATTCTGCAGCCGAAACCAGAGAGCAGTTTGAGAGGAGCTCAGGGAGAAATGTGATACTTAAAATTAGCCAGCAAGCTCCACTCTTGTTGAACTTAAAAAGATGATGGGCCTGGAAAGAGGTTGGGAGTGTAATTTGTTAAATGTTAACCTCTGCGAAAATGAGGGGCAGGAATGAGGCTGAGGGAGATTCTCGCTGGGGACAGATTGAGGGAAAAGGATTTGATGCATTATGTCGATACGGATTTAGGGAATGGGAACCACCACAATTGCGTACTGAAAAGCCCATGTTGGGACTTCTGTGGCAAAGGATCTTATGGCAAATCAGGAAGGCTGAATTAAGATCCGTTTTCAGAAGGCCTCCCATTGGTATTTCCTCTTTGCTTCTTTCTCTTCAGGGTTATGTCTGTGCAATGTTCTGTGTAGAAATTTGGGCCATGAGGAGACTTGGGTGAAACAGGCTAAATAGACTGGCTAAAGACTTAGCCAGTCTTTTATTTTATTTTATTTTTTTGCCAGATTCTTCCATACCATCTTTCATTACTATCTGAACCAGCAGGCACTCTTCCTCTTACACGTCCATCTACCAGCAGTTTCTGTCTCCAAGATAGTTGATTGCTTTTAATAGTTGTCTAGGCCCTCCCTGGTGGCGCAGTGGTTGAGAGTCCGCCTGCCGATGCAGGGGACACGGGTTCGTGCCCCGGTCCAGGAAGATCCCACATGCCACGGAGCGGCTGGGCCCGTGAGCCATGGCTGCTGAGCCTGCGTGTCCGGAGCCTGTGCTCCGCAACGGGAGAGGCCACAACAGTGAGAGGCCCACGTGCCGCCAAAAAAAAAAAAAAAAAAAAAGTTGTCTAGAATACAGATTTATTTCTTTGTTCATTCTTGTCCTCTCATTCATTCATCCATCCATCCGTACATTCATTTATTCATCAAAGCATTATTGAGCACTTATTCTGTGCTGATTAATAGGTGCTGTAGTTACAGAGAGAAAAGACATTGTCCCCACCTTCCAAGAGCCTAGATCCTAGATCCTAATGTGAAGGGATAGACAAGTGATCCAACATGTGTAAAACCATATAGCAAAGCAGAGTGGTGAAGACCATGGCTTTGGAGTTGATCAGACCTGGGTTTGAATTCAGCTCCATTGTTAAGAGCTCTTGTGACCTTGGACAAGTTATACTCTGTGCCTCGGTTTCCCCATCTGTAAAATGGTGGCACTGTCTCATAGGGTTATTGTGATAATGAAAGCAAATAAATTACAGAAAGCATTTAGCACTATGTCTTGCCATGGGAAGTGTTCAGTAAATATTGGTTGCCATTATTGTAGAAGTGTGCATAGGATCCTCGGGAGCTCATAAAGGCTTTGTAATCCAGCCTAGGAGGTCAGACAGGATTTCTGAGATTAGATACAATCATAGCTGAGTGTTAAGGAGTGAGCAGGAGTTAGCTGAGCAGAGAAGGGCATCCTCAGTAGAAGGATCCTGAGGCAAGAGAGAACAGGCTGTATTAGAGAAATTACAAGTAGGTTAGTTTGGTTAAAATATAGGAGAAAGTTGAAAAGTAATAATAATAGCATTTATTGGGCACTTACATATGCCAGGACACAATTATAAGTGCTTTCCATAAACTCTTTCATTTAACCCTCATAACAACTCTATGAGAGAAGTATGATTTTAATGCCCCATTTAGAAATCAGGAAACAGACGCCCAAAAGGTTGAAGGGACCTTCCTAAGGTCACACAGTCAGGAAGTGGCAGGGTTGGTATTTGAACCCAGGTCACTGGTTTTCAGAATCATGGACTTTTCCAGATTGAAGCCAGTGGTGTCAACAGCCTTCTATCTTGTGATGGTGAATTGAGTACTGTGCTTCAAGTCAGATCTTTGGGCCATGGTATGGTACTGCATTATTCTAACAACAATTTGCTGGGACAACTCCCAATTTGTTTAAAATACTGACCTCCAGCCCCCGACCCTTTACTCTTTGTGTATCAGAATGAGCCATCTGTGAGTGGTTCTTAAAGTGCATGGTAATGTTTCCCTTTAGTTTTCATTTGCATAGGAAATCAGGGAGTTGGAATAACACCCCTTCTCCATCTGTAACTATATACTTGCCTTCTTGACAAGAAAATTTTGCCCAGGGTTTTCCATAATTCAGATAGAGACAAAGATCAGATCCAGGATAACAGTGAAGTGGTAATAGTTGGTGGGGTTTTTTTGTTTGTTTTATGTTTTTTGTTTGTTTTTCTTCCTAAAGGGAATCTAAGTGCCAAACTCAAGGTGGTGTCAGGGAGCAGTTCCAAACCTGGCTGCACGTCAGAATCATGTGGTGATCTTTAAAAAACCACAAGCTCCCCCAAATCACAGGCTCCCAAGCCCCTGCAGAATCAGGCTGTCTGGGGGTGGGGCCGAGGAATCCACGTGAAAAAGCTCCCTGGGGATTCTGACGCACAACCAAATTTGAATTCCACTGATAAGGGAAAGAGCCTTGATTAGAATTGGGAGTAAGCACACCTGGGTTGGAGCTTGGCTCTTCCTCCTTTTCCTTTCCTTAGCTCTGTGATTTGGCCCATTTAACCTCCCCAAGTCTCTTTCTCCGGTGTCAAGTGGAGACAGTGATAGTGTTACAGACTAGTTGTGAAAACTAAAAGGCCTAATAAGTGGTTAACTATTTTTATGTTTATTTTTTGGTGCCTGTGGTGTACTTGCTTGTTTATATTTAGTTATAATCCTCACTTTAATCCTGTACTTTTTAATTGAGTTGGAAACCGAGGTACCGAGAACATGACTAACTTGCCTGAGGTTTCATGTTAGTAAATGGCAGTGTTGCTGGAGGGGTGACCAGCTCTTTCCAGTCTCAGCTCTCAAAGTCATGTGTCACAGGAAACCACTCAGGGCCAGGCAGACCAGGACTGTTGGCTACCCTGGTGCTGGTAAGCAGTTGCAACCTAGTTTTGTCAACATTTCAAAGCTCTTTCCATCACGTGGCACCACGGCTCCTGTGGAAGCCCCTTGAACCATCTTTGCCACATTAGTAAGGGATCCCTAAACATTAGTTGAATCTGAATTGATAGAGACTTAGATGTGGGCCTACTAAAGTCCTTCTGAATTCGAAGACCCTTTATTTCATTTTTCTTTTAGGATCCCTTGATCATATCACTGTGGTAACTGCTGATGGGAAACTTGCTCTAAACCAGATTGGCCAGATCTCCATGAAGTCACCACAGCTGATTTTGGTGAATATGGCCAGCTTCCCAGAGGTAAGGTGGCCTTGCTAAAGGGGTCCCTCTCCATGGTCTCTTTTGGAATGCAGGAGGCTGAGTCGAGTCAGGAGAACGTGTTCCCTCTAGTTCGGGATGAACCAAGAGAGAAGGCATAATAATGGGAATTTCAGGATAAGAAAAGCTCTCTTCCTGTTTGTAAATTCCTTTTCTGTTTAACTCAAACACTATAGAGTCCAGGCAAGTAATTTGAATACTGACACGGGCCCCATCTAAGACAAACGGTAGTGGCAGTGCAGTGATGGAAGGGCCGGGGTAAACTAGCTCCCGTGCCCTGTCTGAAGGGAGCAGCCTTTGCCCAGCTATTGCTGATCCTTCCCGGGCAGAAATGCAGGCCTGGTCATTAGATATTACCAGGCGTTAAGGTGTTTGTTTACAGAAGAAGCCAGTAACCCCAATTTTTATGTAAGATCTTTGTTAAATGTTGATAACTAATGCCCTTTTTTGTGTGTTTTGTTTTAAGACTATGACAAAACCTAATGGGCCACGTTTGCTCTGTGGGCCACCAGTCTGTGACTTTTGCATTAGTATTTGGAGCAGACCTTCCAGGAATTCACATTCCTTTCAAACTGGACTGACCATTGCAGAATATTGCACAGAGCACAGTGCTTCCAAGGCTGGAAGGTGGGTTGCATTAGATCATTGCAACCTGGAGGCTATGATTTTAAGTCTGGTTGAGGAAGGTAAATGGGTTTTTCCTTATTGGTCCAGTAAGAATTGACCTGGGTTGGGAATCCTTGAGGACCTGGAATCTGGTCCCACCTGTCCCGCCAGCTGGCTGTTTGACCTTGTGTAGGTTGTGTCACTTCCTGGGTCTCCCATTTCCTCACCGGTTAATATGAGGTAAAGGAATCTGAAGTCTCTCCCTATTCCGATGGTCTGTTTCAGTAGTTATAGCCCAAAGACAGAGACCAAAGTTGAAACTGCTGGATTTGACAAACTGGGCTAGAGATATGAGTAAGAGAAAGCCCTTGCTATGAGCAGGCTGTTTCAAATCGGAGGGCTCTTGTAGCTGATGTGCTAGGCACATTTGTGAGGGGTATTACTCACTCCTCCACCAATCTATTCTCTATACTGCAGCCTGAGCGAACTTGTAAAGATGTCTATTGGATTATGTCATTCCCAGGCACCGAGTTTATCAGTGGCTTCAAGTAATCTTTAAATAAAAGATGACTGTGGCCTAGAAGGCTTTGCATGAAATGGCCCCTGCCTGTCTCTGCAGATTCTCCAGTCTTGTGCCACTGTCACCCTTGCACACGGCTCTAGCCGCACTAGCCTTTCAACTCCTCAAACCCTTTGCGTCCTCAGGGCCTTTGCATATGCTCTTTCCTTTGCTCGGGACACTCTTGTCTGGCTAATTGCTACTCATGTTTTGGATCGGAGTTTACATATTACTTTCTCAGGGAAGTCTTCCCTAATCTACCCAATCCCAATTATTCCTCCACATTTACCACTTTTATACAGCCCAGTTCTTTTTCTTCATTGTACTTGTCATTATCAATAGTTATACAGTTTTTTACATCTTAATTTTCCAGCTCACTTTCACTAGACTGTAAGCTTGGAATGTAGGAATCATATCTAACTTGCCCTGACTTACGCCTAACACTGTGCCTGACACATGGATGCACTCAGTAAATTTTCCTCAAATGGATGAATACTTGTCATTAGGTTGATGGAAGGGAGACACTCATTCCTGGTGTTACCGAGGAACAGAGTAATGGACAAAAAGGGAACTGTCAGCTCTTTCCCTTTCTGGCCCCTCTGAACCACTGAGGCCTCTCTGCCTTGTTCATCTAATCCCACAGGCACTGCGGGCCAATTTAGGGAATAGCCTCCTAATTACACAGTTTGAAGACCTCATCAGGCAGATTGCTTTTCAGAGCCAGCCACTTCTGTTATTAAATAGCAAATGGCATTCACAGAAGAAGCACCTGATTGGCCACCAGAGCATCTTATGAGGCAGGAGGAGGTATTAACAGCTTAATTTTTTCTTAGGAAGTTGGAGTATATCTTCATTTTTCAAGCAAAGCATCTTTGCCATTTCTCCAAGTTGAAATTCTGTGGATTTTGAAAAAAAAACATTTACAGTCATCTCACTAGAGAGGTTCTTTACAAGGACAGAGTGAGGAAGTGTGAGTTACATTGTCTTTTGAATTCCTTTATCTCATCTGGTGTATATATTAAACAAATAGCTCTAACTAAACATTTCCTTCCTCCAGTTTAGAAGCTGTCCATGCAGTACCCAGGTTTATAGCTTCAAAATGCTGAGCTAATCCTCACTGTGTTTATATAATTCCTTTCTGTTTTATATGCGGTTGGCTTTCTTTTCAAACCTGAGCATTTCTGTGTCATGCCCTAGAGACATGATGCAGATTTACATGCAGAATCTTTTCAGATACATCAAGGACAGAAAACTGCGTTGCATTTGTTAAGCACGTGTCCTGCTTGATAAATGATGCAGTTGCTGCCTTCCGTAAACTTGCCTGCAGCTAGAGTTAATGATTGGAAAAAAAGAAGGGAGTAAAAAAACCACAGCATGATTTGACCAAGGCAAATGAAAAAAAAAATTCTGCAGGCTCCATTATTGCTCTTGTGACAGTAAGAAAGCAAATGTGTGGTGAGCGTCTACGGTGTGACCAGGCACTGCTTTCTCATGTTTTGCTTCATGTGATCAACACGGATACTCTTTATTTTATTATTATTATTATTGTTATCTTTATCATTAAAAAGTGTTTTTATTTATTTAATTAATTAATTTTTTTACATCTTTACTGGAGTATAATTGCTTTACAATGGTGTGTTAGTTTCTGCTTTATAAC